TGCATAGATCAGCATAGAAGGGATGGAGATCATCGATCTTAGGGAACTCTTCAAGGATCTTCTGTAGTTTCTCATTAAACGTCGTTTGACAGAACTTCACCTGAGTATCCCATACCATAAGCTGGTTGCGAACCCTAGCTTGAGCAGACTAACCTTCCGCATGTAAAAGCTCCGGATACGTGTGATCTTAAACTGGGGATGGACCTCTGTAGGAGTCCGTCGCTGCGTCCGACTAGCATCAACATAGTTCAACGCCAGACCTCCCACTCTCATTAATACCTCAGGACGACATCCACCATATCCTTGGCCGGTATGACCGTCTGTATCTCCTTGAAAGAATACATCTAGTGTTAACTTATCGACGTGTATGAGGCGGTAGCTGTTGCTGCCACCAACTACCAACAACTACAACAACAACATCCACCAGTCGACCTAGTATCAACAATATGTTTATCAATTAACGAAACCTCATAGTCCAAGCTATCATTCTAATCATCATAATTGTATGCATTCATCGTATCATACCTGCGTCGCCCATACCCGGCTGTTGGGGCCAAAGCAGAGGTCAATCGATTATAGTGGCGTGCGCGTTGCTCCTCGCTCTCGTCAGTTGTCCAGACCATATAACAGTGGCAGTTGTTGTTGTTGCCATGGGAAAAAAGGACAAAAAGGATAAGAAGGGAGGTGGATCTGGAGAGGAGCAGCGTCTACGTATCGCCATTGTCAGTGAGGATAGATGCAAACCTAAGAAGTGCCAACTTGAATGCAAAAAGTGAGTGGGTTGGCATACACAGCGTTCTTGGTGTACACAATTGGGAGTGAATAGTGTTCAATACTGTATGGGAGGTATAATATATGTTGCCAAGGTACTGCCCCGTGAACCGTACTGGTAAGTTCTGTGTAGAGGTCGATAGACATTCCAAGGTCTCATGGATCTCGGAGACCCTCTGTATTGGTTGTGGTATATGCGTCAAGAAGTGCCCCTTCGATGCTATTACCATCATTAATCTACCCAAGGACCTTAGTGGGCAGACTACTCATAGGTATTAGTAGTAACACTACTCTATAGTGTGAGGAGGGCTGCCCTGTGTAGATATGGTCCCAATACCTTCAAGCTACACAGGCTACCTATGCCTCGCCCTGGTCAAGTCCTTGGTCTTGTCGGAACCAATGGTAGTACCATAATCCTATAACCACCAAGCTGGGATTATGACTATCAGGTATTGGTAAATCTACTGCATTGAAGATATTGTCCGGTAAGCTGAAGCCTAATCTCGGACGATTCGATGACCCCCCGGACTGGAGCGAGATCCTTCAGTAACAAGACCGTAGTCATCACTACCCTTTCTACATTACCTCGGTTAGGTACTTCCGCGGATCTGATCTGCAAAACTACTTCGTTAAAATCCTGGAGGATAAACTGAAGGCGACCATCAAACCTCAGTATGTCGATAACATCCCCAAGGCTGTCCGTGGCAAGGTAAACATATAATGTTAAGACAAGAACTTCTCCCTGTACTCAAGCCCTCAGGTTGGAGAGACCCTTGCTCGGAAGGATGAGCGACATATTGTACCCCAGTTATTGAAGCGTTTGGATCTCGAACATCTAGTCGATCGTGAGATCAAGGATCTATCAGGTAAGTTCCTATCCCCACACCTTTTCCCTGCCAATGCTTATCCTATCAGGTGGAGAGTTACAGCGTTTCGCTATCGCAGTAGTATGCGAGTTGAATGCATCTGTTTATATGTTTGATGAGCCTAGCTCCTATCTTGATGTCAGGCAGCGTTTAGAGGCTGCTCATGTAATGATAATAACGACGTTCACGATATCACGACTAGTCTTGTGTATCCGTCTTAGGTTATCCGTGACCTACAGACGTCCGATAACTACATCATCGTGGTTGAGCATGATCTATCAGTCTTGGATTATCTTTCTGATTACGTTTGCTGCCTATGGGTAAGCAACAGCATCATTCAGCATTGCATAATCAGCACTACCTTACTGCAGGGCACTCCTACTGCATATGGCGTTGTCACAATGCCCTTCTCCGTTCGTGAAGGTCTTAATATATTCCTGGACGGTTTCATTCCTACCGAGAATCTTCGTTTCCGCGAAGTCGCCTTGAACTTCAGGGTAGTTTACTTGAATGCGATCAGCATAACTGTGACCTATCCTATTGTAAGGTATCAGAGAATACTGATCTTGATGATAGCAAGAGGATGTATAGCCAAGATTATCCTGCTATGACCAAAACTATGGGTACCTTCAAGCTCCATATCGAATCTGGCAACTTCTCTAGCTCTGAGATCATCGTTATGCTCGGACAGAACGGAACAGGTAATGATCCCTGGCAGTTATGGCGGCCATCTTGTATGTGTTCATATCTTAGGCAAGACCACGTTCATTCGTATGCTTGCCGGTCTACTCAAGCCTGATGAGGATGGTGTAGAGGTACCCCGCATGAATGTCTCCTACAAGCCTCAGACAATCCATGCTAGATTTGATGGATCGGTAGGCGTCTTATCCTCAGACCTGCATATTCCCCATCCGCCTTCGTTCAGGTGCGAGATCTGCTTCACGCCAAGATCCGCTCACAGTTCCTGCATCCCCAATTCGTATCTGATGTCACTCGTCCTATGCTTATCGATCAGCTACTTGACCAGAATGTACAGAATCTATCAGGTGGGGTTCTACAGCGTCTCCCAATCACCTTGTTTACCATCCTTTCAGGTGGTGAGCTTCAGCGTGTTGCCATTGTACTGGCGTTAGGCAAGCCTGCTGATGTTTATCTGATCGATGAGCCTAGTGCCTATCTTGATGTCGAGCAACGTGTTGTGGCCGCTAGGGTCATCAAGCGATTCATCCTCCACGCGAAGAAGACTGCCTTCGTTGTGGAGCACGATTTCATCATGGCAACTTATCTCGCTGATCGTGTCGTAGTCTACGACGGTACCCCTGGTATCGAGTGTACGGCTTCCTCACCTGAGACCCTCGTCACGGGTAGCAAACATGATCTCTTCGAAGACTCTTGTGATATTGTTGTCAGGTATGAACAAGTTCTTGAAGTCCTTGGAGATTACCTTCCGCCGTGATCCTACCAATTACAGGCCTAGAATCAACAAGTCCGACTCTGTGAAGGATAAGGAGCAGAAGGCTGAGGGCAACTTCTTCCTTCTCGAGGATTAAGTTCACTTGTACAGCAGCAGCAATAATAACCGAAAGTCACTGTTGTCCTAGAATCGAGACATCACCGTTATGAGTAGCTGCGTAGTACTAACTCGGCCACCATTTAGTTGATTGTCTTCGGAAGGATGGCGGATAACAGTTGTCGAGGGTTTTGGCATCCATCACTGTTGACAGTTGCCATCATCGCTAACGTTCACTGAACCCTGTTTCCCATTACGATATAATAGGTGTTGGATCGTTAGTAACAGGAGTTTGGGCGGAATCGTATAAGAGTACCCGTAATAAGCAACAATGATACGCCGCCTCTTGGTAGAATGAATGAATTCCTTGCAGGGAGGGTCTTGAAACCCTTGTTATTTTAAATTGCAAACTGCGTATAGGGAAGAGAATCTCTAAGAGATGTACCTCACATAACGATATCCACTTAGGAACTTATTGTATATATCGCAGACTTGGCAATAGGTTGGATGGTCACTCGATGGTGTGGTTATCTTGAATTTATACGAGACCGCGTTGTACTTGGCGGTAATGTTGGCAATAGACCCAACTTCATATTGTATCTATTGGCCAAAGATCTCCATACGTTTTTAGCAGGACGCGATTCATTATAGAGCATGCTATGATTGTGATTACTGTGAGTTTGTTAAACAGATCCTTTTAGAACTCAACTTCGTCATTCAGCATAGCACGAGTGAAACACACTCTGTTGATTTAAAAATATATTTAGCTATAATGGTTCAGGATTATCATCAAAATTAGTTGGCAAGTGATGATCGTGCAGCCTGCTGATAGTCCTCCAACTCCCACTATCATGAGATGGAGGGGTTGTTGGGATAGGGACTACAGGATCTCTGAAAACAACAACAATACGACACATGGTATCGGTACTCAATTACCTGTACAATAAATCTTCGGCAGTCACTGCACCGAGGAGTTCACCTCGGAAAGTCACAAAACAAATCTAAAATGAAGTTCGCAAAAAGGTGAACGGGAGCCACCCTGTTATACCTGTTCCGAGTTGTACTCCATTCTGCCATAGATCTGTAGTACACTAGCGTCTGGTGGGCATGTCATTGGAGATACGTCCAACCATGGTAGCATATCACATAGTGCATCGGCTTCATCGCTGGGGGACATCTCCCCACAGTGTTCCAATAATCTAGGATAATCATGAGGGAAAGATGCTCAGCAGCGGTAGAACTACTCTTCAACAGGGGCTGCTGCGACGAGTATAGCACGGCCGCTATCAGTTGACAAGAGTACTGGAATCTTGGGAAGGTGACAATCGAGTGTCTGAAGATGATATGCTTTCCATTATCTTGGCGAGGAGGCCTATAATACTACATCAGGGTCTATACTCCCCGGATGCCTCCATGCCTCATCCTGTATCTTAGGGATATCCTTGGAAGGGGTCATCACCGCACATACAGGCAGCATCCCTCTGTTCAAGAGGATCATCATCATCATTATAACGACGATTAGTCTACTGGTGTACCTCCGCATTTTGGTTAGTGCTGGGCGGCCTGGAAGGTTCTTCCGTAGTAGTATAACGTCAAATATGCTAGGCGAGATCTGTCCCGAAACAAGGACTCCAGCAACCGTAGCAACACAGAGTGGTAGAAGTGTTCCCCCAGTGCCAAGACCTACACACGGCACATCACCTCTAGCTGAGCACAGAGTAACGTACTAGGTGCAACTTCATATATAGCTACTAGCAAAGAGAAGCTCTGTGTTACCGATGCCGCGAAGGCCACTGTGCCAATCAAACCCATGGACGAAGGGTTGAACTGAGTGATAGGTATAGGGAAGGTGAGTAAATAACCAGTACATATTGATCATTAGGAGTAGTAGAGGGCATGAGCTCATACGTGAGACGGCCTATTAGGGAGCCCAATACATAAGATGGTATAACAAGACCTGCTGGCAAGGGTAGATTGAAGACTATTATTGTCATAGGTAACTAAGAGAGGATGATGAGGAGACTCAAGGGTAACTGATAGAACTACTTTGAAAAGTAAACATAGTAGCCACTGATAAAGCGTATATTCATCACCAGAGCCTATGACAGAGGCCAGAAACTGAAGGGAGTATATATCAACTGTGAAGAGAAGGAGGAGGAGATACTTGATACTTACTTGTGGCTGCAGAGAGTCACCTAGCGGTGGTAGCGCTCGCGATATCAGGGAATTCAAAAGGGTAAATACGATAAGAAGAAGGAATATATAACTCTGCTTGGGAGCTCTCATCTTATGCCATCCTCGTACCAGCTTTTGACCTACTCAAGCTCTATCCCCATTGTACCCGTTATACCCCCTATCACGTATATTCTCCCTCCGTGACGATGACGCTGATGTGGTGTATCGGCCACTGACAGCAGTAGCAGCAGCAGCCTCATCATCATGGCCATGCACTGCCACTATCGACTCTCGTCTTCGATATACACTCACAGCATCGGGCCTCACAAAGCTAGGGTCGCCATTCGGGGTAGCGAGACCTGAGCAATGTGTATCATTATAGTCACTATAACGCTTAACTCACTTCCTCGACGATCCGCAGTAGTAGAAGCCGCGGCCATAGCAGAGGCACCAGCATCCTCTATCCACTGACGATCAGAGGGACCTCTCTGAGCCTGCCTTAGTCCTCTTCCTGGTGCAATATGATGCTGAAAACAATGACTAACTAGTGATGCTCAAAAGCGTTGCTACATGTTTCCGGCCAAAATGGCTCGTCCAGATGGTCTGAAGATGAGCTAGAAGACGGCCAGTATGGGCAAATGCTTTGATAAAGTAGCCACCAAGAAGACCTAGGATGACCCCATAGGAAGCGAATCCTATAGCCTAAGCAACAACAACAACAACAACAGAAGTGTCAGGGACAGGGAGGATAGATAAGGGTACCCGTAGTGGGGACTCGTGATTGGAGAAGGTGAGGTCACTGAACATGAAGGGCCTCAGACCAAGGAGAGGAGAGGTCTTCACACATACAAATACGAATGACCCAACAACCGATGCTACCAGGCATATCCAATACCTAAAGGAATAGTAGTAGTAATAAGCACATAATATGGAGTATTACGTATTGATGAAGAAATGGTTAGAGGTCACTTCTAATGCAAAGAGAACACCACCGATAGGAGCCCGAAAGATCGCGGCAACACCAGTAGCAACGGCTGCTGATAGGACTTGTCTTCTGGTCTGAAGAATATACTACTCAATCTACCTCCCACTACTAACAGCCTTACGTTAGGTATTTGCCGTACAGTAGCAAAGAAGGGTTGCCTCAATAGAGAGGAGCCAATGCAAGCAGCTATGTGTACCATGGGGCCTTCAGCTCCTACTGGTAGGCCCGCAGATATAACTAGTATCAAGCCTATCGATTTGGCTAATAGTACACTAGGACGGAAGAAACTAGAATGGATGATGTGATAGGTAGAATAGTGATGATATTACTACCCAAGTAGATGGCTTGCCCCGCCAAGCTCACACTTCATCTCTGGGATACCACTCCCCTCTGCCAACGGCTGAGCTATCATAAGTATACGAGCCAATAAGACGAAGACCACATCGAACAGTACGCTCAACCATGTAGGTAGCTCAGCCTGAGGTGATGATGATAGTGATAGTAGCAAGCGGTCCTCCTCGATACTAATACCGCTACCTTCGATGATACTAATACCCTCACAGTTGAATCGATCCCCGCCGATAGAAGTGTACCTATACATGGTTATGGTCACGACCTCTACTGAGGTTGGTATTATCACTGAGTATGCCAATGAGTATTATGATGAGCCATAGTTTGCGGTAGGCACTCTTCCCTGGTTGCTTGGGCATTAATCTGCCCTCCGATAACAGGTGGCTCAGTGTCTCAGCATCTAGTTTCTGAGGAGGGTTGTCGTTATTCCACTAAGTGTGCAGACGATATGCTTCCTACTTCCCATTCCTTCCTATGACCGGTTCTTCCCTTAGCATGATAGGGTGTAGCCTCTTGTGAGGCATGAGGATCAATAACCCATTCCTCCGTATCAAGGTTGTATCTGAATGCCGAGAGCATCTAGGGGGTACTCGTACTACTCTTTTACTTCACAAAATTGCGTGTTCCTCCATCAATGCAACGATGCTCAGACGATCCACCCTCAGCATGGTGTATGGCTGCAGTATCCTCATGCAGTAGAGGCGTTGTAGCAGTATGAGGTAGGCTGTGAGGTCCCACAGCGCCTGGATGGGCAGTATCGTCAATACCATACCCGCCTGAATATGCACATCATCTATAGTCTATCTTACATGGCCACCGTTACTTCATACATACCCACCTTACCCGAGATATGTTGTTCGTAATCAGATAACTTTAATGGGAGGTGCAAGGAAGCCCTCCTCCGAGCCATTGCCGATAGAGCATTCTCCCATTTACTGCCGTCACTGTGGGAAGCATGCTCAGCAAAGAAGCTACTAGAGCCTCGTCTTAAGGCTGACACTACTGATGCAACCGAACCTCGCGTTACCTGAAGAGCTCATCTCCACTACTATACCTAACGTAGTGCTACCACATGGGCCGGTTCTTGATGTGGATGTAGAGATTCCTCACTACTCGGATGTGATGTACAGCTCGATTGTGAAGGCAATGTCACGGAGGATACCCTACCCTCCTGAATGGTAGGCAGATCTGCTGGCCACATACGGGAGCCATCACCATCTACCATTCTGAGACCTATACAGAGCCTATACACCACTATCTTAGACATGCATTACCATGCACAGGGCTTCGCATTGGCCCACCAACAGCGTCATTCACACCTAGACGTCTATGCTCGGACTCACCATCTGCTGAGGTTCCCAGAGGTAGTCGTAGACCAGCACTAGAAGGTGGTGGTGTTGATGCAGATGACGGCATCACACTGTATGGCAGTGACCATTCCAATGACAGCCCACCTATACTGACTACAACTCAAGCATATACTAATGAAGGATAAGATATAACGTTAGGCTCGCTCTTTATCTTCTCATACCAGCAGCAAGCAGCGAAGGTCAGGAGCAGCAGCAGCAGTTCTAGCTCATTACTGCCTCTTTTCGAGAATGTTATAGTTCAACAGCTTCTCGATCAAGTCCACATGGGTTAGTAACATACGTCTACAGCAGTACCTAACAACGGTGAGCCTTACATACCACACATCTTCACTGGATGGGATTGCCCACAGAATGATACCGTAAGTGCGTGAAAGGGGATAGAATGGGGCACCCCCTCCCTCAGCCCTATCACTACCTCTCCATGCCTAGCTCAGTAAGAGCCTGCCCCTCTGACTTGCCCTCCTGTAATAGGTTTAGGTATGTATCCCACTTATTACCAATAACCTGATCAGCATAGTACTTCTAGTGCATATACCACTAGTACACACTACCTTGCCACAAGTGAAGCACCGAATAGGGATAATCATATGAGGAAGGGTATGAGGAGAAAAAGCCTTAACTACTGAGATAGATGACCAACACTCTCACTGCTGGATAACTCAACACCATATTAGTTAATATGGGACACCTGGAAATCGTCGATGCACGACATGCTGATTGATGGTCCATAGGATGTAAAGAAGCACAAGAATCACTCTCATACTTCCACTCAAAGGTCGAGCTACGAGCAAAGATATGCACACCGTTACAATAGTACATCCATAAGACCAACTCTAGCAGCACCCCATTCATCGATCCAAGCACCGCTTACCTTAATGCCCTCGCTCTCTCAGTGTCCCATGTAAGGAGCAATTCAAGCCAACTGCGTTGTTTGGTCTTCGTAAGCCTCTTATACTACTTAATACCAGTGTATGCCGATTCCGGAGTGCTATTCCTATTTGCAGCTACCATTTCCGGCTACCAATTGACAGTCCTAAAGGCCCCTCATGGGTATACACATTGCCTGGCTCAATGCTGAGACACCCTACATCGATACTATCCCTAACCCACTCGAGACCCGTCCCAATATTTGTTTTTGCGATTGTGTCATCACAAAGACGTCCATAGACGAGCATTGAAAGATACGTCAACCTCAGAGCATGTAAGTTATCTATTGGCAATAGAACACAGTATCCTAGGATGATGAGGGACCATCGAGTCCGACGGTACCACGTGAACGATGATACCTAGCCCATGGTCAGAATCGCCATATCCACGTGTCGGCGGTGATTGGTCCAGGTTGGGGACACCTGGGCACAACCCCAGAGGGACAGGCTCAACACAATACCAATGTCAACTGAATGTATCTGTACCAGCTATTGTAGCTCCATCCTCTACCTCTAACGCAAAGGCACTACTTCTTGTCGTGGATGTTAACCCGCGATGCGACCATCACACGAGGAAGTATTAGCCTCATAATACTCCTTTGTTATCAACAATGGAATGAAGGTGTCCTCCTATATAGGTTAGGCCTTATGGATAGGTATCATAACACTCAATTGCCAAGACAACTGCACCCTCTCCTTCAGACACTGCTGCTATCAAACGTCCCTCTGAACGTGATACCAATATGAGACTCATCTGAGGACCCGAGCATGAGCTAGATACTCCTGTTCCGAGGAGGGATGATTATGTAACTGGGTGGGCAGCCCTACTCCGCTGAGAGGGGACAGATGCAGCGGTGAGGACAGAGTAGAGGAATCAGGTATGGACAGTAGCAATCAACTGAAGAGCAAGGACAGAGAAGACCATGCTACTAGATACAATAACGAGAACACACTGTAATGGGTTATTGAAGCTGACATAGGAACTAAGAATGGTAGTGCCGACATCGCTAATACAAAACGCACGCCGAAATAGAGGAACTGCTACACCCTGTGATACCAGTAACTACAAACATGGTGGTATCATAGGTAGCTGCAGTAGAAATAGTGGGTGGGGAGCAGCACGCAGCAGCAGCAACAGGCTACTACTGCCGCACACCTCAACGCTTCTTGGCTATGGCAGGCAGCGTAGTACAATAATAATAATAATTACATTGACAGGTGGGATGGTTATGTGGTTGTGAATCACTATTAGAAACAACAAAGACTGTGCTAAGCATGCAATACTTCTATCTACTCTAATAATAGTGAACTCATGACGATCATCCTCATAGATGTCCCAACTGCCGTTAAAGGGGAATGTGATGATTACACCAATGCTTGACTCTGGTGACTATAGCTCTATTATACCGAGTGATTTGCGACATATCCCTACTAGAATGTAACCGTTGATGACGTAGTAGTATCATCACTAAGGCAAGTGATGGTAGGCTCTGTTAGAGTGAGGTACACAGCCATCACTAGCTGTAGGGGAGGCAGGTGGGTCTAGTATGGTACGATCAGCGTCCACCTCCTCATTTACATGACCTGCCACCCCTCTGGCAGGGAACCTCCCTTCCTCTACACAAGTGATAGTATCAATTACAACAGGTTTCCGTCGAACCAGGCATATAGGACACATAACCTGTGTAGGCGTTGACTAGGCTGATAATTATAACATCCTACCTGTGAGCATATCCAAAGTAGTAGAAGGACAAGAGCTATAGCAGCTGTGATTCCATTAAAGATTGCTATCTTTTCCCACTTATCCTGTTGCTTTGGTGATATAGCGTCAAGATACAACTCTAGTTGGGTGCCGCATAGGCATGCTACCTGAGTACAGCATGAGGTGAATAAGAGGTGATTGCTGACCTGGGAAGCAGGAGTAGAGCCTGCTCTCGATACGCAAGTGTTGCAACGATCGGTGAATATTGGGTAATTGCCGATTGCCGGCAAGGATGAACATATCCTATTAACAACATTCAGTAACTCATCACCTGAGTAGATCTGACAATAGCCTGATGCCGTGATGTATATTACCGTTAGCACCAGGGCAAGTGATAGCATCGAGTTGGGGGGTAGTACAAGTAGGAGCAGCTGGGGTAGAGGAACATGCACCCACTTCGTACAGCGTAACAGCTGATGGTATGAACCTACATAGCAACGATAACCATAATAGTATATTCCCTACTGCATTACATCTGAACACTTTTGGAGATGTTCAAGGTATCGATGGGGGTGCCGTAGGATATCAACTAGAGTACTCAGTAGACCTTAGAGATCCTCATGTGTCCTCACTACTACCTCACGGTGTATCTCCTTATTTGTGAGATCTGATACTACCCCTACACCATAGAAGCATATACATACCAATACACCACAACAAGTGATAACGAGTGAGGCTATTACCAACAGGGAAGCCAGTGTAATTGATATACAGCGCGATGACCTGTTAGGAAATCGTTATACTTACCAGCCACAGCTTATGAGGCCTACCGCAATTTGAGAACACTTCTCTTGATTATCCCTATAGCAGCTACCACTGGGGCGAGAATTGCTGCGATTAGAATGAGGACAACACTTATACCAATAGGGTTTGCTGGAATGACCAGATTGACGCCGTTCTTTTGAGCCAGATCTGTTAGCTGAGGTAGAAAACTAAGATGAAGCCTGTCAAGACTAGCTACTACCTGTTGGCCTGTAAGACGGGATAATAGCGAGGCATCAACTTGTGATGTAGATACAAACCATATAGCGATCGCCCAGGCAGATAGGGTCAACAAGAGTGAGAAGTAGATGGTAGTGAAAATAGCTCTGCTCAGCTGAAACGTCTGCTTCTCCCTGGTGGAATGGTTCTCTTTACTTCGTAATTCGTCAGTAGTCATTGGGTGGTGTTAAAGCACAACTACTCCGAATAGCTCCTACTACACCTTACTCAACAGCAAATAATCAGAATTGAAACAGCAGCAGCATCAGCAGAGATGTGATTATGTATGATAACTAGTTGTGAGCACTGGCAGTGGTAGCATGATATTACTGACGGAAATTACCAATAGTCGTAGTAGTCATGTAACAGGATCAATAAAAGTATGAATGATACCGCTATGGACCGACGCCTATTTGCCCGAATGCTCTTTCATAGGCGCCTGCTCATCCACATTATTCAGACCGCTTCCCAGTAGCAGCCGCGGTACCAGCGGGCTGAGCCTAACAAGGAGGACTATTGCCAAAGGGAGTAGAATTGGGGCATACTCTAGGAGTTGCAGTGATCAGAGGGGCAAGCTTGGCAACCTGATTTAGGATGGGCTTGACAATGAGGGAGTAAAGCTTAGCAGAACCACGGAGATCGGGGTAGAAGAGATATACCTAATACCAGGAAGGGGTACTGAGTCCCGTAGTACTCTTTAAGATTAACTCTTACCTGGAATGCAACTCTGATGAAATAGTACAAGGGGACCCAAAAGAATATATTATCGATAATGGCCTCCACCAACATGAAGCCGCCAAAGACGGTCCAATAGGTCAATATAGCCTGATGTAGAGTACAGGACAGGATCCCGTAGTAGCACACTTTACCTTAGTTTGGTCATTAGTGGGGTTGGCCGCCTCGACGATCTGATAGCTCTTGTACACAGGATAACAGAATCCAACTAGATTGCAAACGGTATTCACTGCAAATCCAGTCAGTAAGCATATGGAAGCAATGGTTGCTCCAGTAAGGAGGGAGCATACTCCAACCTGAGATGGCAAACATAAAGACCAGGCTCAGTCAGGGGTAGTAGAAGTACTGGCGCCAACCCCGATAGGTCAGAAGCTTGTTTAACAGGGCCGACATCATAGAGCTTAGTGTTCAATTCTTTGATCTTCTTATCCATACCGGAGCAGCAGGACATTGCGGTACTTAACAAATGCTGCCAACCGCAAGAAGTTTTACTATACGTCCCTTGCAGACTGAACAAAAATCCAAATTTGCGACGGAGCGAAGTGAGTCTTGTTTCACTTTTTCAATTCAACACTGCGCGTGTTGATCTTCCAAAGATTCTTTGGATGTGCGCGTGTCTCATTAGAACGAACCCTGCATAGTATCCCTAGTTGATGACCGATCCGGCTGCTTCTAAAAGCAGTGCTGGCTCCGAGAATGTTAGACTGGAGTTTAGCGACTTCTCTACTAGTGCATTACCACCTATACGAGGGGTAGATGATACCGAGATGACCTCAACTACCCGTGGCAGTGGAGGTGCTGACTTGAATGACCTTTTGCTAGTTCGAATGCATTCCTTCAGGTGCTTTCTCTAACACTGTATTGTCCCACTCGGCTCATCCCTGGGTATGTGTATTCCATATCCTTTTCAAACTATCCGCCATCTTCTCCTACTGGGTGGTTTACTATTTATCCGGGAAAAGTTACATCAGTAAGTTTTATATGCATCGAATTCACAATCTCCAGGCTCCCTCCTCACAGTTACCTTCGTCTGCACCACTATATGCCTGGCACTAGACTTCTGGACTGTTAAGAACGTCACAGGAAGGTAGTAAGGAGGCTGTTATCAAAAGATTTCTGCCATTCAGAAGCCTATTTGATTATAAATCTGATCTGACATACACGAATGAGGGCTTCAATTCGTTCGGAGTTACACTAGAGCATCATATTAGTGAACAAGAGCCGATTCAGTGAATAATACTTGAGTGGTTACGAACATCAACTCCTCATAGTTGTTGTTTTCACTAGTGCAGGTTAAATCTAGGTTTGCCGGAATAGCGACTCTATTCGTCGAGTAGATTTCTGAATGGTTTAGTCCTCTGGCATAGCGGCCCCTTATTTGTCAAGTAGATTTCTGAATGGTATGGTCCTCTGGCATAGCGGCCCCTCATTCGTGAAGTAGATTGCTGATTGACCGCCTAGTAGTATGTAAGTTTGTCAGACTCCTTGTCGGGCTACGATGGTGGAACGAGTATTCATCACCAAAGGATGGAGAGGGTAGTGGTGATGTTGATAAGTCTACGTGGGTATTCGAATCACAAGGAGGAGAGGAAACAGCTCTCAATCCCACCGATAGGACCGTCTTCTGGTCAGCTCTGGTACTAACATTACTAGCACCGAATTCATAAACCTACTCTCTCTTCGCCATCAGTACATCTTCCCGTTCTTCTGGCTTGGTGGAGCGATATCTAACTTCATATCGCTATCGTTCGATTATGTCGTCCTCAACGTCATGGGCCTCACACTCTCATCCGCTAATGTTGTTGGTTATTGGAAATGCTCCAAAGGTGATCAGCAGTCCCTCATGCAGGTTTTATGTTGGCTACTTTCAGAGTCGCAACGTCGACTGCAGTCGTGGGCATCGCAGCAGGCATTGGGCGCTATGGTTTCGCAAGGGGCCGGTGGGATCGGTGGTTTCGTTTCCAAGGCTGGTAGTTGGTTCAGAGGATCCTCGTAAATTCTCCTGTGAGATCGTCACTGTTATCATTTACTCACGAATCGTGTTGCGTTGAGTACCTGTAGTCCCTGTACTTTGATAACAGGAGTCCTGTTACAGGACTTATTCCTCATGGCCAAAGTCAACCGTACAGATCGCACCGAGCTTAACAAGTTCGAGCGAGAGTGAGGGTTCAAGGGAGGAATGGTCTTCAACTTGTCTTCCTTCCAGTTCCAATCTGACATGGGCCGAACTCCATAGTTTGAAGGATCGTGTACAGTATCCAGACATGCCTCACTCCATGCCGCGTAATAATATCAATCTGTCGTTCCAAGCGTCACCCTCTTTCAGAGTCGCTAGTGCACCACATACCTGATTGTATGACCGAGTTCTATGCACTTGAGCGATGCCTCGATTATGGCATCCAGAGGGAGCATCCGAGACGCCCGTATTACCCAGGCGCTTTTTCCCTGCAGACGCTGTACCCTCAGATACGCTCGCCTGATTGGGTGTAAGGCTACGCATCTCTGCTTTGAACGATGTGTACGGCGCAGGGATGCTAGGATAATGCGAGAGATCGCGAAGTAGGTTGTATGAGAGGCTGTCATTGACAGCTGAATTCCATAACGGTGTTGAACAGATGGGAGAGATCAGCAGTATCAGAACTATCTGATGTCGCTAAACAAGAATATGTTGATGGATTGGAGCGGAGGCAACGATATTATGAGTAGTTAGACGTAGGGATGTTAGCGTGTAAGGCAACCTACAGGTACCTTTCGGATCAGTCGAAACAGAAGGATAAGCAGAAATTCTATGATCGTCAATATACCCACGTGCTGGATAGGGTTATCAATGTGAAACAAGCATTAAATATAGCGCTAGATGACAACGAGGTGTCTAGGGTAGTCATAGGTTGGATGCTGGGAAATGTAGTAGAGATATTGGCAGGTGAACCAAAACAAGAGAGGGGGGACTACTCACAATCTGGATACTATCATACGAACCTTCACACATCGACTCGATGCTACTAACAAGGATCGCTACAGTGATGTCAACAGCCCGGTATTCAAATAATGATGGGAAAAGTAGTGATACTCTTGCCGATTGACATGTTTCTGCGCACGAGGCGGAGACGTTGAGTTATAGGATACTAGTAGTACCATACTACTGTCGTATACTAGTATAATAATAGTATACGACAAGTGTCATTGTTAGCTTCGGTATGCACAAGATGGGTAGAACTTGCGATATCAGCTCCTAGCAAGAGTAAGATGACTGATAGAGTCGCAGAGGATATGTCTCATGACTCAGTGACCTTCCTAGGATTGACTTGGTCCTCCATTACAAGGAATGACATACACTACCAGTGATATCCCATCGCATACCTAGTATGACTGCCCCCTTCTTACCGGTCTTTGTACTAACTGTTCTACTCAGTGTCAGCGGTGGATGAAAAGTGATTTTACAGGGTCTGCTACTACTCAAGAATCTAGAGTACACGAACAATGTGCAGCGAGTGAGTTTTCTAGAGTGTATCACATAGCATCGAGTACAAGGAAAAGTGGCCAAGTAAGCAATGTTAGTCGTGAGGATATAGTTATATGTCCCTTTCAAAAGGCTCGTGCGCAGAACTCACGAGTAGATAGGGTTTTATGATGGGGTTGCCCAGAATGCGAGAAGTGACCCTCCCACTACGATCGGAACGATCGCGAAGGAACTACGAGGCTGACGGTAATCCCAAGAGGCTCGTGATTAAATATCTGTGTAGATTTGCACATGAATCAATAGTTTTCGACGACACGTGTCATTAGTAAAGTCAATTTCGCCGGCATGTCTGAAGTAAGTTCAATCTCGACCAAAGGCGGAAGGTGTAGTAGTACGATCTTTGTAACATGGGGCAAATAGATCGTGTTCATGATAGAAGCCATGCCAGAAAGCTCAGTACGATCGGCTAATCAAAGTTGAGTCTCTAGAGCTCATGAACGTGATGGAGGAAGGTTTGGTGACCGTCTGTGAGACATATTATTCAACCATTCAGCTCCCCTTGCGTCGAAATTGAAAGCTCAAGAGGCGATTGTGATCTCTCCATACCGGGTTCATACCTCTCACTTCGAGCCCCTCGACGATATTCCTGGGACCTGCTGGGGGTAGGCCAAATCCCAACCCATAGAGTGTCCGCCCAACTTATCGCTCATCCCCGATACCCCGAGATGGACTTCGGCTTGAGTATCTAGACGATGTTCTGCGCAGCATTACCGAGGGTGAATACGAGCCGGAACAGTGTGTTGCCAACGAAGGAAAATTGTGTCGCGGGGGGGGGGGGAAATTGTGCCAAGAAAGAATGGTACGCCGGCGTTGATCGAACTTGATATCTTGAGGTCTTGTGATTACTCAGTGTTCATTACAAATTATTGCGAATCACTAGCTTCGATGAGAGTCGTTGCGTACTCTCTCTCTGATGTACATTCATTCTCATTGCCAATTACGTCATTAGTATGCTAAATAGTTATTGGACTATTCGGGTGAGCATGATGTGTGAGGATATAGTATTGGATTTCTACTGGTAGCTACTAGCTTCGATCGTTCTCCACCATTAGTTGTATTTATCGCCCAACTCCAAATTTCATCAACAATGACGGTTGATACTCTTGGTATCGAACAGTTAATACGGGAGATATCCTTCCTTGAAGCATCTGGTCAGGCCGACCCCAACGCACCGGCCGAAAGCCTCTGTGAATTGTTCGCTAGGACTAACCCTGATCTTCTGGGCTCGTTGTTAGAGGTCATGAATAACGGTTGTCATGCTGATGCGGATGACAATGCCTCTACTACGACCGCACCAACAACACCGACTCTCGAGTCTACCTCTGGCTTGTTGTCTAATGACGATTTGGCCTCCTCTCACAGTTCTTATGAGTACAGCCCACAACAACAGCATTACTTGGCGGCGAGACTCTCTCCTCTGACCTCGACAGACTCGGATGTTCTTCGTCAACCTCTAGGGTATCAGCAGCAAACTATGAACAACAATGGAAGCAATGGCTCTCCTGGACCAATGGTTCCCGTCAATGTCGAGGAGCTTTTGCGCACTGGCAATGACACACGAACCACTGTTATGATTAAAAGGATCCCTAGGAGGTAGGTATCCAATTCGTGACATATCATCGTTGTAGTTATTTTGAAGGTACACTGTTGCGATGCTACGTGATGAGATAGATCGACGGTGTCCTGCTTTGCGGAATGGTGGATACGACCTCCTCTATCTACCAGTTGATACGGCTAAGGTTAGCGAACCTCGGATGCCTACTTGTCTCCCCCCGCACAGTTGCTTGTTTCAGGTCGCCAATCGCGGCTATGCGTTCATCAACTTCCGTTCCCCCAAGCATGTCCTTGTATTCGCGTCAGCATTCCAGAATTATGAGTGGCCAGGTCAGCGTGCTCATGGTCCTCATCAGCCTGCTAATGGCGAGGTTAAGATTTGTGAGATCTACTTCGCCCACATACAGGGTAGAGAAGAGACTATTAGGAGTGTGGATCCAACCGGCAACAAGAATGCTACATCTCCGGCTTACCAGAGTATTGGTGATGATAAGTGCTGGGTATTGGGTTACAACGAGCCCCCAGGAGGATTCCAGCATTCAAGGAGAGCTTCCAACAACAAGTCCCGCAATCTTATGTCCTCCTACTCTCTAAGGCCTTTAGCAGGTGTACTAGGTTATCCCTCATCATCACATAGACGATCACGTAATGATCAGTGTATCGTATGTGGTGGATCTGTATCAGCTGGTACATGCGTCTGTGCATATTACCGTGCAGCTGCTTCTAATGGCCTTTCATCATCATCAACAACAATAGCACAGCAGACAGCTATGGCTGATCGACTCTCGCCTATGGTAGATTCCCATCATTTCTCGGTTAATTCCCCTGAGTTCATCCCAGCCTCTGCTTCCTCATTATCGCCCGACTATCGTTTCTACTAATCGGCTTGTTGCCGATTTGTACCACAACCCAATGGTGATAGGTTGGCATTTGCTGGTGTTGCTGTATTCCACCGTTGTCCTGAGTTTGAGGATCTGTCATCATCATCATCATCATCATCATCATCACCTTCCTTCCCGTCATAACTGTGTATCATCTTATAGGCGTCTGTGCCTCTGTAGACTATCCTTATGCAGTTACTTGTTCTCGATTAGAACAATATTCAAGTCGGTTATGTTGTGATGTCCATCATTCCACTAGTACCACTTCTTGTGGTACTACTGTCGTACTTGTTCATCATCATAATCAGCATCCGGCATCATGTTCCTTATCTCTTACTATTACCTATTGGGTGATATTATTGTACGCTTATTTTCACTCTTCTATCGTCGCTGTTGTCCTTCTTGTGTAGATTACTAAGGTATGTCAGTGCGTCGTCGCTTGTTGTGAGAGATGCTTTTCTGCTGATGTATCTCATTCTTCGCAGTGATCATCATCAGTGTAAGCCTCATCACTTCATCTTCGCCATACGACCTCAAGTTATCGTCTGCGTCGTTTTTCAACCGGTCTTTCGACAGAGATACAATAGCACGGATAATCGTTGTTTCTATCCATATATTTCTCGCGATAATGGTAGTAGTACCTCGACTGCTCTACAGCCGTAGGTACCTCAGGTCAAGCTGCCGTTGTGTCTGATAGTCTTATCATCATCATCATCGGCAGCCAAACTGTTACTGTCATTATTATACTCTCGTGAAACTAATAGAGTTGGTCTTGGGCTAACTCCCCGCGATTGTGTTATTGCCATATACCGTTTGAACACCATTGTATCAGTAGCTCAGCCTTCGGTGCTGAACTCTGACTATTCGTTATCATCGCGAACATGATGATAATGACATCATACCTCTTAGACTCTCATTAAACAGTGAAACTACGCTATCGGGTCAATAGGATTGGCCAGTGTGTACCTAAGTCCATACGACTGATTCGCGTGTCGACTAGTGTGTTTTGCTGTAGTTGATGATGAACAGGAGGGACTCTTCCATTTCCTTGCAAATTATGATGTATTGAGTATGTTCAATTTGATATGGGTGGGAGTTGGGATATCATTGGAGCATGCTATTGCAGGTGTCAGAGTTTTCCGATTCTCGATATGCTGTCGTCGGCTGGTGTGACTTATGATGTTGGCAAGCATGGCAGTAGCCTATGGGAGATATTTGCTTCTCACCCTGAATTGGTCGTGCCGCTGACTACTCATGTGGGCCGTCTACAGTTAGATGAAGGCCCTCTCAATCGCCCTCTCCATCGGGCTAAGGATTTTCCTAGCTCTGGCGAAGGGAAAACGACTGTCATGATCAAGCGTATTCCTCGGACGTACGTTGTCAGTGTCTTGAGTATAAGTGAAGTGCTTATTGTAGTTATACTGTCGCTATGCTGCGTGATGAGCTCGAAGCAGCATGCCCTATGATGAGGAATGGGGGTTATGACCTTCTTTATCTCCCTGTAGATACGGCCAAAGTGGGTGCCGATGTTCATGGCATTGGATTTCATTGAGCTTCTCGCCTCTTCAGATTAGCAATCGCGGCTACGCGTTTGTGAACTTCACATCGCATGAATGCCTTTGTGCATTCGTGGCGTCGATGCGCAATCGTCCGTGGCAGAGGTTTTCTCCCGGTTCTAAGCGATGCGCTGAGATCTATCTCGCCCACATTCAGGGCAGAGAAGAGACTATACGCAATGTAGACCCGACAGGCAGTAAAAACACTACTTCTCCTGCGTACCAGAGTATTGGTGATGAGAATGTGTGGGTGATGGGCTTCAATATTGAACCGGAGTTAACGATGCTTGGATCACATCCTCAGCTCGGTCTTGGTTGGGTACCACCTCCTAGAGTAAGTTAAACGTCGATTTTGTGCAGGGCTGAGTCCCTGAGGGTTTATGATACTTGCAACGACTTGATTGACATGTGATGATCAATATCCATGCTTTCTTGTCGACATTGGAATGCATCGTTCGGCCTATGCCTGATATGACGTCCATTTTTAAACTACTTCGCTTTTGGCAACACACTTCGCATGTGCGTCGGGCTATTATCGGGTGTATCTGCCCTGTAACAATAATCTTTATGCTTGGTATTAATCTTAGTGTGATAGTGTGCGTCTCATCTCCAAAGTTTCATTGCTCTTGAGTTAAAGTCGGTTTGGATATGGCCCTCTCCCTCCGGTGATGGAATAAGACGATCTGCGGCACATTCGTACACGTGGACCTCCTCCAACTCCATGTCTACCGCAACACAACAAGTCCGTATACACCAGTATAGCGCTGATGACGGTCTCAAATCAAGGCACTTCGTGACGATTAGTGAGTATCTTAGAAACAAGGTAGACATCGGATAGGAAATCCAGCCCTCGGCAGTATAGACATTCTATCTGAGGTACGAGAATGACTGAGAGCTTTCATGACGACGAGAAGTACTTCATATTTACGCCGATATGTGTTGAGATAGGTAATCTCATTGGCGACAGCTTGTGGCATATTTTGGATGTTAGACGAAAGCTCTTGAGGAGCGTCTCATCACATGATGTCATCTGGATGCCACATGCCTCGACAGGTATGTTGTAACTTGAGATATGAGTGATGCTTGCCAACACGTGCTTGAAACACGCGATCCAACCTACTCTCGGATATCCTCATGACCTAGTCCAAGCCATTTCAACTCAGTAACGCTCCGCCTGTAAGCTAGGTATATACTAAGCCCGTGGGGATCGAGGTCGCCAAAGTACCACATTGGCAACCTTTGAGTACCCTACTCGGCTCATAAGGCGATGCGCTGCTGGTATCGACGCTCACTTGTTTATCGGCCACATCATTGAGGAGGTTGAGAAATCTCAGTGTGCGGTAATCAGGATAGCCGCGAGCTGTGATGATGAAGCATGGTAAACGGCCGAGTAGAAGATGACGTCCACCCTGGCTCAGAATCCGCTAAGGTGGCTGACATGAGACTTGACTGTTAGCATCCGATCTACCTGGAATACGGTGTCTTTCTCGACAACGATCACATGACGAGCAGTAGACTCGAATGACGTGCAGCCAGCGACGAGGCTCTGCAGGCATCAATGCGTTGCAACAGGATAACAGGATCCACTTCTGTAATGGTGATCCCCTGGTCTGCTGCCTCAGCGTCAAGGTGGAGGAGAACTCTCAGTGGAGTGTCTGTATCCCCACCACCATGGAATATAGTATCTCGCGGGCCGGCAAGTAATCCTTTGGCTGTGCTCAGGATGCCCACTCCTGATACAAACAGAATGCCTCATAAATCTATTGGGATTTTGTACTATGTCGTTCAGTGCGTAGGAGATCTACTGCCTCAATAAGACGGGCATTTAGCCGCGTCTGAGATGGGAAAAGCTGTTGTTGGACTCCAGAAGAGCCGAGCGAGCGGTAGAACCTCGTAGAACCCTATGCCCTACTATGCTGCTACACTCGCACAGGCTTACAATTCTCTCTGTGTTGCTGTCCGTCCTGTCGTCAATAGCTCTTGAATGACTTCAAAAATGTACCACAGTTGGCAGAGATGCTTGACCCCGATACCAGCACTCACGGTCACCTTCCTAGATGTCTCACCGTGGCAGAGGATCTGATACACGCCATCATCCTCGCACACCATCGGGGACCATACAGGATGGCGTCCATCGCATGGGCAGCTGATGTCTAGGCATACCGTCGATCGCAATTTATCACCAGTTGACGGTTTGCCTACGAGATCTGCGTTCTCACAAAAGTTTACCAATTTCTTTGTCAGTAGCTCTATATGATCAAGGACCTCGTGATGTTGCAGGGGCTCGCTAGCAACCATATTAGTCTATTCCTATAATGTCACCCTGATGCTCTCTCCATGGCCAGGATATATCCACAGCAGACAAGTAGAACACGACAATGCACATGATTGAGGAAGCCACACGATCAAGTAACGGGAATCATGGGATGAATGAGAGCTCTCACAGACCGCCCATTGTGATCCCTAGTAACACTTGTTTGCATGCATGGTGGTAAAGTAACACTGGCCAATAATGACGATGCTAGTAACTCGTACCGGATATCAGTGAATCCGAGTGGGGATGCTGACTCTTGATAATGCCGATGCGACGATTGTCTGATAACACACCGCATTACATCATGTCTCGTATTACATCATCACCCCTATCAAAAGTAGTCATGTATGCACGCAGGAAAGGGGTGCCCACAATTCATACAGAACCTAAGGTTCTGGACTTCAACAACAGCTTCTCGAGTGTAGTGTAAGCACCTCTATCATCGTCATAGAGATCCCTTGATGAGACGTCAGAGTCACAGGAGCCGCCGTGTCTCAGAGCGTAATCGCCGGGGGTAAGGTCCACCTCAACCTGTAATCTTCATAATCAAACCATTACCCAATCCTCCAGCACCTCAGTGACGTGGCCCTCCTCATTCGCCTTTAGGAAGATGTATGTTATAACAGGCAAGTCATCATAGTTAGAGCAGTCACTCTTCACGTTGATGGCATCTTCAACTATGTCGAATACCTCACTTGGGAAGCTGACGTCGGAGGTCCCTACCATATAGTGCCAGATGTACGTAGTGCTCCAGCGAAGGCTACCTGTATCCACCAACACGTGGCAAGGTTTCCCATCATCTCTGTTGCATAATCCCAACCTCGTACCATTAACCGCTACATCAATAGCGCCCAAGTCCCAATGGGATGCCGTTACCAGGGGGAACCAGTGCATACGGGCTCCCGGGGCTATCTTGTCAGCCGGGGGGCGGTCACCTCAAGAGATGATGACACCATGTGGGCCAGTCGGGGAGAACTACCTCCGAGATAGAGAGCTCCTGGTAGAGCGGGATCATTGCTGTGATAGAATGTAAAGACCCCGAGATCAGGGATGTTCTCCATGAGTGTCGGGCCACCGAGGTTGTAGAAACCATCTGGGCGAGTCCAGGATAGTCTGCTAGTTGATAGTAAGCATATGCAGTTCCGGTGCTACCACTACCACTACCCGCATACACCATCAAAGGGATAGTCCCCGAAAGGGAAGGATGATTCGTAAACAGCCGTACCGAATGATTGATGCTAATGCAGGAGCGAATACACTAACAATGGGGAGGATACGGAAGAGGACTTACTGGAGTTGAAGAGTTCCCTATCTGACATGGGGAACTCGATGACTCCTGCCTCGTCGAGCTACCTTCACTCTATCCCATCGTTGCTTTATCTCGACAGTTCCTGTACTGTACTTGATTCTCACCTACATTAGAATACTGCCTAGAGTGAACCATAACTTCCATTACCAACGGCTCGCTGTCCGATCCATCATCATTTCCTCGATATGCCTAACGATCAATACGTGCGATCACCAGGCTCGAGTGACGTAATACTCACTACCTTATGTTTCGTACAAGTTGTAGTATCACATGTGACGTCAGGAACCCATAAGTTAGTTGATCCAGTATCGTACACAACATCGAAGGACTGCTCTTTCCCTTCTCTACCGATGAAGATCGGGCCATAGTAGCTGAGAAGACTAGCATGACAGCACTGTAGATGAGTGACGATACATAGATACCTCCCATCGCTCACAGCGAGTCTGACTCCAGGAGTATGCTTGCCTGCGGCCAGTCGTCTGTATTCTATACGAGCCCTGACGAGGGAGAGGGTCCACTCAGGGGAGGGCCAACACGGGAATACTTATGTCGAGCTGCCACCGTCTCATAAGGCGACATCAGAGGGATCATAGTAGCCTCGATAGTGGCCAACAACGGGATGGTGGTAAGGAGTTTGACCATACTGGTTGAACGACTAAGCTGTTCGAGGGAATCAGTGGAGTTTATGGTCACAACTCCAATGAGATACAGGAAACATGTCATTCAAAGAGGCCGTTGTGCTCCGAGAAGACGCCCTACCTTCCCAGTCGCGGCGGCAAGTGTGGGTATGTTCCAGTATTGGGCCCCACAAGAAAGGACAACATATAACAGAGATCGCTCACGATAGGACACCAGCGATACTGTGTTCGGGTGAGTAGATAGTAGCCGCTGCTGCCGACTCAGTAGTGAGCATACCATAGATAGCTCGTAATCAACTTTCGAAATTTTTACCATGCCGCTACATTGCCTCGAGAAGAGTGGCGATGGTCTTCAGACCGATGGTGGACTTCAGGTCACTGTGCACGCTAACCTCCCACGTCTGTCTCGTGATCTTGATATCCTAGGAGAACATAGTTCCATGAGTAAGCGAGGTTACCAGAGATTCAGAGCATCGGTCAAACATTTCGTCCTCTAACTCCACCACAGCTACAAGCGGTGTATAGAGATCGTAGGATCTTGTCGACCTCGACACCCCCGTCAATATGTAGCGTCTGTAAGGGGAACAATTAATTAACCACTGAACCCAAGGCAGTAATATGCGATAATCTAGGTCTACTACGGTTAAAGCTAATCCGCTCGATAGTGTCACAACTTCGACAACTTATTAATCGTAACTAAGGCACAAACCATAATCGCCTAGATCGACCCTCCAGGGTCTTACCGCGGACTTCCCCTCTCTCCCCGACCACGAGAGCGACTGCGGCTCTCCTTAGTATGATACTCGCCATAGCTCGGTGATCTACGTCTCGAATCACGTCCACGTGGGGTACGGCCACCACTGTAGGGATCATCATAGGAGCCCCCAGATGGTGGGCCGCCACCACCACTCCAGTCCCCATAGCCTCCCTTGCCACTGCCCCAACTGGAGTATCCTCCTTTACCACCCCAACCACCTCCTTTACCACCACCCCAACCATACCTACACATCAACAGCATCCCAATACACACGGCACAGCTAGTCACTACTTACCCTTTTCCCTTGCCCTTCCCTTTACCCTTGCCTATATGACCAAGCGTCTCGCCATGCTTCTCATCAGTGAATTCTTCTACTCGAATAATGGACGTATCACCCTGAAGAGCAGAGATGTACATAAGAGCAAATCATTTATCTACGACGACTATCGCTGTGGCGAGGATGGCATCATGAACTAGGGTACATCTGTGTAGTAGTAGTACCATCCAGATGAAGTCCTGATCCGTATCCGAACTAATATTAACATCAGCATCCTCAAGAATATGTCCCTTTGTCATTCCTATTCCGATTATTATCCATTATCACTATTTTATCATCCCGGACATCGGCAGCGTCATCACACGACAGTAGCAGGCGACGTGAATGCAATATCCTCTCCAAAGTAATGATCATCCCTATACTCCATCCTTACAAAATGACTCTTCATCTCGGTATCATCGAGGGTGCGGACAGCGCGCTCGACATCAGATTGACCAGCAAAGCCAGCTACACCGACACCGTCACGAGTGACTTCAGTGAATCTGAAGTCGACGGCAACAAGCACTGAACAGCTGTGATGAGGATGTCAAGTCCCAATAGCTACCGGCATTCGCCAGCATCACGCATCTTGTCTTTAAGATCTTGCCAAGATGCTCCTCGAGGGAGGTTGGTTACGACTACACGGTAGTACTTCTCCGACATGCCCATCGAGTCATAGCCTCTGCAATACACAGATGACGTAACGACAAATCTAGTAGAAGCACTCACGCTGATGGTGACCCACTGCCGCCCTTGCCGTATCCGCCACCATAGTCGCCATACCTGGTAGGAGAACTGAACGCATACATAACCCGGATTGGTTATCTTACCTGCCACCACCCTTACCCTTCCCTTTCGAAGGGATACTACGGGAATCATCACGATAGTCACCATCTACTTCGACTGTGATGGGCTGCCCATCAATCTCATAACCATTACGGGACTACACAACAGATGTATGAGACGACTCCCTATGACACCACACTTACCTTAGCAGCATCAGCAGCGTCTTGCCAGTCCCGGAATTGAACGTAAGCGTAACTGAGATTTCCATTGGGTGCAGGGGTTGATGCAACGAGGTAGACCTACGCTGTGCGCCTCCGAGAGCTCTCGTTTATCCTGGCACCACGAATCTCGATAGACTCAATTCTACCGAACTTGTAGACTGAAAAGGGACATAACAACACAGAGAGTGGAGGGGGATATGTTACGACTTACATATGTCATCAAGCTCCCTCTCTCGAAGGGTGGAGGGGATATTGGACACCACGATCCGAGCCATGGTAGGGAATGGAAAACTTATGTAAAGAAAGTGATCATATGGTGGAGGTCGCCAAGAACGCATAGTCTCGTCCGCCGAGTGTATCCAAACTAGGGCTCGCCCGAGACGGCCACCCTCAGACCCACTATTGTTCATGGCTAGTCCACGCTAATCGACCACTCTTCATAGTGTGCATTACGTCACTGGTCACCCAAGTGTTCAGCGATCACGTCCTTATAGACGAGCTCTTCATTGGGCGTAGCCGGTGAAATCCTCGTAGTCGTTTCCGGCTCCTTGCCACCTACCATTGCCCAAGCTACTCAGTCCGATCACTCACCGTGTCGCCGGTTATCGATTGTTCAGGCGCGCGCTAACTTACATACGCGATTTCACTCGTGGGATGTTGGTGCACGAGGTCCGGGACCCATTCCCCTTGCTGTCTCTCAGTTTTTAGGCTTATCCGTAGTATATTATGCCCGATCCCGCTGAGTCTGTCTATGACTGGGATCTATTCGTAATTGGAGGGGGATCAGGCGGCCTCGCAGCTGCCAAGACCGCCGCTGCTCTCGGTGCCCGAGTTGCACTAGCTGATTTCGTCAAGCCTAGTCCGCAGGGTAATCCTTCCCAATCACTCACCCTGTCATCGTCATCCTCTTAATAGGTACAACATGGGGATTGGGTGGCACATGTGTTAACGTTGGATGCATTCCCAAGAAGCTCCTCCACATGTCTGCTCACACAGCAGAGACTGCGGTGGGACCATTGCCTCTATCCTCGACGATTGGTGGTTACATGTGTTGTTAGGGTGACAGTGCTGGCTTGGGATGGGAGCTGACAGCGTCTCACAATTGGGAGGCTATGATACAAAATGTAACTACCTACATCAGCTCTCTTAATTGGGGTTACAAGTCTGAGCTCCGCTCTACCAACGTCAAGTAGTATGCACATATCACTCTCGTATTGCATGGGATTCATCCTCAGATATTTCAATTCCTTTGCAACGTTTATCGATCGGAATACTCTCAAGCTCACTGACAAAAGAGGAAAGGAGTCGATTGTCACTGCAAGGTAAACGTTTTATCTATACTCATGGTTAAGTGCCCCTTAGGTACATACTGATAGCGACAGGTGGTCGCCCTAATCTAGGAGGCTATCCTGGTGCAGGAGAGTGCTGCATTACCAGTGATGATATCTTCCGACGCAAGGCACCACCTGGGAAAACTCTAGTGGTGGGGGCCAGGTGAGTACAACCTGCTGTGCATTATGTGATCATCGTTGAAGTTACATTGCCTTGGAATGTGCTGGCTTCATAGCGGGCTTTGGGTATGATACCACAGTCATGGTGCGTTCTATATTACTCCGAGGCTTCGACCAAGATATGGCCCAACGCATAGGAAAGTATATGGAACTACATGGCACTAAATTCGTAATACATACATCCAATTCAACTTTGAGAGCTCTTTATAGGTGCATGAGATGATTCCGACTAAATTCGAGAAGACTGAAGATGGCAAAGTCAGAGTCTATGCCAAGTCGTCATCTGATACTATGTCTGATGCTGACAGCGAGTTCGGTGTTTTCGACACAGTGCTGATGGCTGTTGGTCGTACTGGTTGTGCTGGCTGGCTTTCCTTGGACAACGCTGGAGTTCATTATAATCCTGATAAGGGGAAGATACCTGTTGATAAGTTCGAGATGACCAACATTGATAACATCTATGCCATAGGGGATGTTGTCGAGGGCATGCTAGAGCTTACTCCAGTCGCTATACAGTCAGGGAAAATGCTGGCTGCAAGGCTATTCGGTGGGGCATCTAGACTCATGGACTACCACAACGTGCCTACTACTGTATTTACACCAATCGAATACGGATCTGTTGGGTCAAGTGAGGAGAATGCTAAGGAGGAATATGGCGATGATTTGATCGTGTACCACTCCTTCTTCAAACCTTTGTTATGGGCACTCAATAAGGATCGCGGTGATGCCGATTGTTATATGAAAGTCCTATGCGAAAATAAAGGTGATAAGAAGGTAGTGGGTATACACATACTAGGTCCTGATGCTGGGGAGATGATACAGGGTTTAGCAGTAGCTATGAAGGCTGGCTGTACAAAGGCGAACCTCGACGATACTGTTGGTATTCATCCCACTTGTGCTGAGACCTTCACCACTTTAACGCAAATCAAAGAGGATGGGCAGGATGCAACAGTTGGAGGTAGCTGCTGAGGTTAAGCGGCTCATAGCCGCTATGCATTCGATTCTATTCCCATCAATAATTCATCGAGGACGAATGAATTATCATCCACAAACATCAAGTGCTGGATGATGATGATATGTCCTTCTTACCTTCTTTACTACTATTTGTAGTTATGCTTAGCTCATTGGTATAATGTACTATAGTCAACCCGAAATGATGGAAAAAGTTCACATTGCGGTGCATTAGCAGATTGATACACACTGATATCGCGGTGTGTGTCTGTTTTTGCTGCTTCAACAATCACTACAGTTGTATTGTGTTAACTCATAATATGCATCTCACTGAGGTTTTTTTTTCTCAACTCACCGCTGCACATGGATATCATTCCCGTCCAGCATCTCGTCCAAGAATCCATGCCAACCGACACAGTTCCTTATGAGCCCCCAGTGGACCCGGAGCAGTTCGTGAGGCTAGCAGTGAGCCTGCTGACGTTGGGACTAGGATTCACCTGTTGGCTGATGATGTAATAGGGTGCAATAGGAGTCTGATGAAACAGTGTGATCCTAATTAGGTACAATGTTACAAGGACCAAGTTTGAGAGGTCCCTCGCCAAGGAGCTCATAGTCGCGGTAAGTGGGGCTGTAGAACTCCGTATTACACTGGATAATTCTACGCGAAATGAATGATTATCACAGCCGACTGATTCTCGTGCCATTTAGGCTTTCGCGTCTATCACCCTCGGCACTGGTGCGTTCTTCGCTATGTTATCGGCGGACCTCTATGTGTGAGCCCAACCACGGTGCGAACATATTTGTTGGTTATTGCTGGAATACATCGTTAGCTTCTATGTTGCTATATAATGGTATTGTGTTTGTCGTAAGGTTTGCCGTGAGCTCACTTTGATGGTTGCGAGCTTCTAGTATTAGTTGGAGCGTGAAACTATTGCAGTAGAATTGTGGTCAATCTTGCACTGGATACTTGTACATTTTTATGGTGTTTCCCGGAACTGTCACCACCTGAGCCCCTATACGTTGATAGCTACGGAATCGCAGTCTTCGAACAATGGAGCATGGGAACTAGTCCTGATGGAATGTTCGGCGAAGATAGTAGTTTGGATGAAAACTCGAAGATCTGAGTTCAGAGGCCCAGATCCACCAAAGTTGTCATTCCACACAGCAACGCTTAGTGACAATCAGGTAACCACCTCACGTAGTACAGCAGTTCCTATTAATGGTGAAGACTTGAATATAGGACCATCAGGAAGACCGAGAGACAATCTGTGACATTCATACAGCCAATCTGATAAGGCGCGCAAAGTCAAC